TTCGGCGCTGCCTTGGCGCTGCCTTGGGCGCTGCGGTGCTGCCTTGGGTGCTGCCTTGGCTGCTGGGCGCTGCCTTGGGCGCTGCCTTTGGCTTGGGCGGAGGGAGCGCGCTTTTCTTGGGCTTTGGCTTTGTGGGAAATCTCACCCTCTTGGGCCGGAAGGGGGAGTCTATTTCATACGCTGGCTCCGTGGGCAGGTCGGGGATCATTTTTTTGCTCGTCGGCAGGGGCAGCACGGGCGGCTTGGGCTTGTTCTTACTACCCGGAGGTCTGCCTCTAGGCCTTGGCGCCGGTTGCGCTTGCTTCATCGGTTTTTTTTAATAGAAAATATTTTTTTAAAAGACCTTCGGGGGATTAGACGTGATCCAAAAACAGCACGAAGGACAAGGACGAGCCCCTCAGTCGGACGACTTGGCCTTCCAGGTCTGTCAGCCGGAAGCGCAGGTGTCTCAGGGTGATGGGGCCCCTAACAGCCATGAAGTGCCCGTCATCGGCCAGTCTCCAGGATGGCGCCCACGCCACTCTTCAGCGTTATCTTGGACAGGATGTCGTCCCCCAGATTGCCCAGCGCGCGGCTGGCGTTGGCCAGCTGGGGGCAGCGCAGGTAGACCTCGCTGTATGCCATCATGCGCACGAATTCTGCTGCCCGCCGGAGACGAAGGGCCGAGCATGTGGTCGATGCTGAAAGGCTTGGTCGGCGAGGCGGCCGGCAAGGTGGGGTAGTCCACAGCGTCTGGGAACTGCTGCTGCAGCTCCAGATCGTTCAGAATGAGTCGGTTGCCGTCGTAGGCTACGCTCAGGCTGTTCGTGGTCTCGCTATACGTGGCAGTAGCGAAGTTGGAGCTGATCCAGGCTGCCGCCGTGCACCAGTGTACGCACCTTCGGGCAACAACGCCCAGTTCAGAGTCCCAAGCGCGGCGTCTACCCAGTAGAGGTACCGGCCTCTGATCTTGTAGACAGCCAGCCTGGCGTCGCTCTGCAGGTGGGGAGAGTCCCTGGTCTACCTCGAAGTCGCTGTCCGAGCCGGCTACCTTGGTCATTCTTTTCTTTAGGAAGCCACCTGTTCGGCGAACGATGGGCGGGTGGACGGCTGCAACGGAGGTGCAGCAGGAGATATTTTCAAACCGTGGAACTGGCGAACAGCTTCTGGCCTAGGAAGCTGAGCGCCGCCCCCATCAGCTTCTTTCTCCAGAGCGAAACGCTCTTCGAAGCGCAAGTAGAACATCTCATTCTTTGGCTTGAGGTAGTAGACGAAGAGGAAGCTGTGGGGGTCCCGAGTCGCCTGCTCGTAGATCCTGTGCAGCTTGTCCTTCGGCAGCAGGCCAGCTCGTGCTGATTACGCAGCCTCCAGCAGCAAAGAAATTGCTGGTTGACCCGCACTGCCGCGCTGATGAGCCTCAGCTTCTGGGACGAGACCCACGTTGAGATTTGCATGTGCCTGCCTCTGATAAAGAGTGTGTCCAGGGCGCCGTTGGCCTTATGCAGCTGCGGCATATCCGCTAGGTCGTCCAGGATGATCAGCACCTGATACAGCTTCTTCATCTCCAACTTCTTGGATGTCTCGGTGATCTTGCGCTGCCTCTGGATGATGCCCCGCAGCGCTGCCTCGTCCCAGTCCTCCCAGTAGGCCTGCTCTTTCTCCGTGTTCACGCCCAGGTCCTGCTCTATGTACTTTTTGACGGGGATCCAGCCATCGTCAATGTTGACACTTGGACTGAAGATGTAGATTTTCTCGAATACGCCTCGATACTGCTTCAGGATGAGGCTGATCAGCGCCACGGTTTTGCTGGACTTGCTGGGCCCGAGGAAGATACCTGTGCATGGGACCAGGGGCACCACGGGGTCCAAGGATTGTTTGCTGCTGTATTCTGGCGTGGGGAATACCTTGATCTTCCCCATTCGTTCTTTTGCCTTTACTTGTCAAAATTCGTTGCCAGTGCTGGACTGGCTGCGCGTTCATCCCGCTAGCCTCCGGTGGTCTCTGCCGCGGCGGGCGCCTGTGGGTTTTAAACAACTCACAGCTACACAGCTGCCTCTATTCTGGCGCGTTCATTTGCGTCGCCGCTCGCCGGGACGTGTAAGAAAACACTAAGAGTGTTCAGCGATAGCGATGGCGCCTGTGCGCCGGCATGTGAAGAGTTGCCCGCATGGGCGGCGGCAGCACCAGTGCCGTGACTGCGGCGGGTCGTCCTTCTGCGTGCGTGGGCGGAGGCGGGCTCATTGTCACGAGTGCGGCGGGTCGTCCTTCTGCGTGCGTGGGCGGAGGCGGGCTCATTGTTGCGAGTGCGGCGGCGAGGCGGTCTGCGTGCATGGGCGGAGGCAGCGGTGTCGCGACTGCGGCGGGTCGTCCATCTGCGTGCATGGACGACAACGGAACAACTGCCGGGACTGCGGCGGGTCGCCCTTCTGCGTGCATGGGCGAGAGCGGCACCGGTGTCGTGACTGCGGCGGGTCGTCGGTCTGCGTGCATGGACGAGAGCGGTGCCGGTGTCGTGACTGCGGCGGCACAGGCGTGTGCTCGCATGGACGACAGCGGACACTATGCAGCAACTGCACCAATTTTGTATGTCAGATTGAAGGCTGTCCTCGGCAAGATCTCCCATTCGCCGGAGCGCGGTGCTTGCTGCAACATATGCGAAGAGCGCACGGCGACAATCCGCGCTCAGTCACCAAGAGCAAGGAACTGGAGGTGCACCAAGCACTCCGCGATGCACAGATCGCCTTCGAGTACCAGCACTACCTGCCCTTCCGCGGCTGCGGGTTGGAGTCGGAGACGGCGCACGCCTTTGCGGACTTTGCTCTGGCGGCCCCGTGGGGCTACGTGCTGCTGGAGGTTGATGAGGAGCAGCACAAGGCCTACGACCCCAGCTACGATGTGCGCAGGGACTTCGACACGGCCGCCAGTGTGGCGCTCGGCAGCGGCCACAAGCTGATGGTGCTGCGCCACAACCCGGACGCCTTCAAGATCGCCGGCGTGACGCGGCGGACCACCAAGAAGTTAGCTTTTCACTTTAGTGTTCGCGCTTTATTCGGCTAACACGCCATTTGGTGGAATGCCACCTGTCCTACCTTGCTCGTGCTGGAACTCGAAGTGCACGAGATTGGTCTCGGCGTGAGTTGACATCTCGCAGCTCTGGCTGGGAGAGGAGGGGGGGATTCCCCCCTTTTTGATCCTGGGTTTTTGTGCCATGGGCCTTTGCTGTTCTCGACGTGTGCGTTTTGCAGCAATTTACAACTGGAGACGTTTATATTTGGTCGTCAAGAAGCATCGGTTTTGGCAGCGCGTTTTTCATTGCGTTGGAATCCGTCTGCAGCGTGGGATCACGCGCAGGTTCTTGGACCGCCTGTCTCGCAGTTTTCCCGTGGAACGTTGAAAGTCTGGCTCTATCAAAGGGGGGATTTGTGCCAGAGATTTGATGGAGGAATCTACTCCAAAGCAGAAGGAGCACCTCACGAATATTCTATGCAGGCAGGCTGCCTGCTCAGTTCCAGCAACGCATGCAGCTTTGCTCTTCCCTGGGAATCGGGCCCCTTACAATGGATTTTGGGAAATGCCCCTGGCCGTAGTTCGCATCCAGTTTTGTGCCGCAGCCTGATGCACCCTTGACTGTGAGTCCAGAAGCATCACGCCCTGCCCAATCGCCGATCAGGTCCCTGTCAGGAAGCAGTGGAAACACAGGTTGGCCTCGAATTCCTGGGCCAAGGAAAGGATCGGAAAAGAAGTAAGTTGGAAATCGTCTTTCGGAACCCCTTTTCGACTACGGTTGGAATACTGATACAAGGCATGACGAGCAGTGAGATGCTTGCAGTATTGGCTGACGTTTTCAGATCTAAGGCAACTGCTACCTTGTTCTCTCGCGCAGGATCGATGTTGGCATTCATCCGTTGGGGGGGATTGCGGAGTTGGGAGAGGGCTTCGTTCTCTTTTCCAACTGATGCAGGGATTGCATATGAGTACATCTGCCACTTGCATGATGAGAAAGCGCCTGCTACGAAGGCTCAGGGATTTTTGCAGGCCTTGGTTTTCAGCGGAGGACTCTTGGGAGTGGACATGAAGGAGACCTTGGGAAGCAGGTGGTCACGCTGGAACGTGCGGGAACGCTTGAGGTGGAGCTCTACTACCACAAAATGGCCAACAGGCAGAAAGCTGCTGTGAAGCGTTTGCTCCTGGCAGTTTGCGCTTGGCTGGATACCACATCAAGGCCGGGGACAGACCCTGAGCGAGTATGGCAGAGAAGAACACACACCAGTTATTGTTATACTTTGTATTGCATCAGGAAAGGGATCTTTGCACCGGATGCAGCACTTGCAAACAGGTGGATGGGTTTCACGTCAATCAAGGCTGCATTGGAGGCCTCTTCTGCAGAAGAATTCTCTTTTGCGTCAGCGGGGTTCTCTGATGAGGGTGGAGGACACTTGGTGCAGCCGCTGCCGAGTCCGGACTCGTTGGTGGTGGAAGCGCCAGTGCAAAGGGGTCAGACTCGGAGGGGTCTGACTGTTTGAGCCCGAGACTGTAGAGGTCTCCCAAAGTGTGAGTGCCCGCAGGGCTAGCGTGGGCCAAACCCGGAAGCCATTTGCACTAAATTCGGCAGTGGCTTGCTTCAGAAACAGGAAGACACAGGTCACCCACCTTGCCCGGGGCAAGACGAGGCAGACCCCATGGACGGGGAAATTGAAGTGACCAGAGGTGGTTGCTACCCGCAGCGGATTTCGAGAAGTTGGAGTTGCACCCTGACGAAGTCCTCAGGAGGTGCGAGAAGTGTTTCAAGCCAAAGCGGTAAAACATGCGGCATTCCTTTATCTCGTTTGATGAGTGACCTTGATTTGCAACAGCTTGCAATGTCACCAGATTATATCTTCCGACCGAGCGAGGGCTCGAGTGCTGGGGTAGGCCCGGCCACTGCAAAGGTGCAGTGTCGGAAATGGCATTTCGGAATTGACATGTCTCAGGAGGGTGTTTTCCTTTTTCACATGACATGTGTGATTTTTAATGTGTCACATGACGCCTAGACAGTCGCGCTTAGAGTGTGATCGCCCGCCATGTCGGTTGTGGACAGCAGACCGGTTTTTCTTTTCTGCAAGGTGTGAGGCCAAACGGGCTCTCGCAGCAAATCGTGCAGGACCTAGTGGACAAAGGTTGGGACACCTACGCAACTTTTTGCATTCTGTGTGCCAACGCTACCTGGTGCATCCGAAGCCTCAGAGCAGTCCTCGTCGACAATGTCATTACTCCCAAACTGGTGATGCTGCACATGTTGATGCGCCCAAGCTTAGGCAACTAGCGTTTGCGAGCTACACTGTGAACGCTGCAGACCTGGAGCGCCGTGTTGCGTCTTCCGAAGGTGATGCGCCTAAAAGCTCCCGGCGCTGGTGATTGCTCACAGGCTTGACGAAGTACGGTCGCTGATCGTGCCTCTCATGGTTGAGAACCAGCTGGAACCATTGCACGCCTTGGTTAATGCAGTCGCTCAATGTGTTGAGGAGGGCAGAGGCGGTATTTTGAGTGGTAGTGGCTTACAACTCGAAATCAAGAAGTACAGGGACTTGCAGAGAATGCCCCCTTGAAGCGTGGAAAGCTGACGGGAACGGGGTGGTGCGTGATAGTTGTGCAGACCTGGACATAGAGACCAAGGTTGCAACCGCTCTTGATTTGCAGAATGCCCTTCGCCGACGTGGTGTTGCCTATCATGCTGCTGCAGCCATGAGTTTCGGAGCTCATGAAAAGACTATTGCTCGCTTGTTTGATAATGGAGGCCCCCACAGTCGGGTTTCCTCAAAGTGACGATGGGCCAGCTCTGCCAGACTGACAGAGAAATTCACACGCAGCTTGAACTAGGACTGGCCTCGTTGCAACAGTGACTGGCGAGCTGCCACTTGACTGTCATGTGGAGCCAGTATTAAACATGCCGGCAGTTCAGTGGCTTTTGATGCCGCGACCTGCTTCGAGGGCGAATTAGCCGGAAGGCCGGCTGAGACAAGGCGCAAAGCAGGCGAAGAGCCTGCTCCACCGCCCCCGGGGCCAGCCAAAGGGCGGCGGGCTGAGAAGAAAGCTTCAAAGCCGAAAGGAGCTGGGAAAGCCCAGAAGACTCCTATGCCCCAGAAACTGCGTGGTGGAACTCCGGTTGATGAAGAGGGGAATGCCTGCTTCTCATACAACCTTGGGCAGTGTGTTGATCCCAACTGCTCGCGCGTGCATGTCTGTTGTGCTGTGGGGTGTCTCAGCAAGACACACACTTTCTGCAGCACACGCACTGACTTCCGGGGCCAGACAAGCAGAGTTTCAAGATTTTTCAGCTGGTATTGGCAAGGGTCGTGCCAGCAAATCTGGCCGTTCGCGGTCACCGTCCCGTCCGTGCGAGGGCCCGGATGCACACAACGCTTCGGAGCAAAGTGCTTTTTCGCAGCGTGCTTCAAAGGGAGCGCCTGCTTTGTTCAATGCTTGCCGCCCCGTCGTTACACCTCGTTGCCCCGCACTTCCTGAGTTTTCCTGCGGGTCTGCGGGAATGTCAGCACAGGCAAAAGTGTGGGGAATGCACGCATTGGGCATAGACCACTATGTGGATCGCAAACGGGTGAAGGCAGCTGCAGCGAAGCTGGACCTGCTCGATCCCGAACGTCAGACAAATGTGTCCCAGGGTCTCGTTGCATGTCTTTTCGCCGCGCCTCCGTGTGGGACTTCCAGCGTGGCTAGGTGCATCAAAGTTCAGGGCAGTCGACCAGGGCCGAAGCCTTTGCGGTCTCCCGTTGGACACTGGGCTGTACGCTGACAAGGTGCTGTCAGCAAACCACCTGTGTTGCTTCACCTGTCAGGCGGCCGCTCTTGCGCACCAGGCCGGTGCTCTGATCGTCATCGAGAACCCAGAGAACTCGCTCATGACTTTCGTGCACTGCTGCGGCTGGGATTTGCCTTTTTCTGTTTCGATTACTGTATGCATAGATCAAGGCGGCAGGAGGAAACAGTATTCCTTGCAAATTTTGGCCTCAGAGCACTGTGCCTTCGTTGTGATCGTAAACACCCACACCTGCCGTGGAGGTTGCAAGACGCTCAAAAATGCGTACAGTTCATGACCTCACAGGAGGCTGAATACCCAGTGCAGCTCTGCCAGGCAAGGCTTCACTCATCGCGTTCGAGCTGAGTCCCGTGGCTTTGTGTTCTCTGCGCAGCCGGATGAGAGCTTTCGCAAACGTACCTGGCCTACCTTAAACAGCCTCGCGGTTGGAAATCACCAGCATCGATTCCCGAGTTTCGGCAGGTGTTTGCTCGACGCGTGGATGCAGATTTTATGTACCTATGAGAATCTGCGAGCCTGTTGACAATGCTTTGTCTGGTATACCTATGGTGCCATTTTGCTCTCGCCCGTGCAAATTCGAATGTGGGGAGTTTGGTGCACGAGCGAGGAGGTGAGAGTGAGCAATGTGAAAATGAAGACGAAGAAGGTCATGTTCGGTGTATTCCACACGCCTGACGGAGATGGTCGCCAAGTGGAGACTGGAACAACTCAGATACTACATGGAGCTTTCCAAGAAGCTGGCGCCTCAGGAAGGCATTGCATCAGACTATGCACCCAGAGGTGGAGTCGGCCCCAAGCGGTTGCTGCTCTTTAAGCTGTTGTTGAGTGACAGTGGCAACTGCGATGAGGACCTCTTTGATTGCATGGTGGGTGGTTTTCCTTTGATTGGCAACCTACCGCCCTCTGGACAACTCCCATTGCACTGGAAACCTGCGCTGCTCAGCATTGATGCTTGAGGAAAGATCCAAGTGGTCGCGCAAAGCAGTGGTGGCGTGGAGACCTGGAGTCTGCTATAAGGTTTGGCAGGAGACGCATGATGAGACGCAGGAACAGCTGAAGAAGGGTTGGCTCACGGGACCCTACACTGAGGAGCAGCTCGATCGAAGGCATGAAGGAAACCTGAACATGCTTGGGCTTCTGTGAACCCGGATGATCGCTCGGTTCCTTCTTCAAGGCTGTTGAGCTTTCCGTTTGAGCAACAAGCGCTGTGCTCTCGGTCAATAGAGCGGCAAGGGCGACACGTCACAAGAGGATGCCCTTTCAAAAGGAGTTTCCGAATTTGGGCGCTATGGTTTCTTTGAAGAGGGCGCCACAGCTTCAACAAGCCTGAAAGAATCCCTGACATAGTCGCTTTGTTTCAGGATATTGCTTCGGGTGCTGCTCCGCTTAGTAAGTTGCCATCGTTGAGGGGTATCCTACTGTGCGCGGCTGGACACACCTTTGGGAGGATGACCCACCTGGCAGTGCAGCTGCTGAGCAGAATGGGCAACGAAAGACATCGCTCGATGGAAGACCTAATTCCCCTTTTTTGGAGATACTGTGACGCTCTTGCAGGAGGCTGCCCCAAAGAGGACTTGGTCTCATGTTTCGAAGGGAATAAAGGTGCGTGTCTTTAGAGACAACGAGGGAGTCAAAGCCAGCTTGGTGCGCTCGCTTTCTCCCAGCCTTCGCATTCTGAGCCTCCTGAGAAGCAATGCCAGGCTTGACACACAGTTCCAAATGTGGAACTGGTACTCTCGAGTGCCTAGTGCTTCGAACCAGCGGATGCAGCTTCGAGGCTGGAAGTCAATTTGTATGCAGGCTGGAAGAAGGTATCTCCAGACTATTCGGATCACGCTGCTTGAGTGGGGGATTTGTGCGTGAGACTGGAAGGCCAGGATCCCGCCTCCTCAGGAGGCATGAGGTGGGTCGCACTCGCGTGCAGTGAACATCCCCCGTGCAGAAAAAGTGCGGTGCTAGTTGTGATCTGAACTTTTGTCTTTACGCGGTGCTCCGCACCCATCCGCAGTTTCCCCTTTCCTCCTTTCCTGACATGGTACGCGTTTGACAAGGGCACGCAAGTAGGACTGGCGTTGTAAAGCTGAATAAGTTAGCTTTTCACTTTAGTGTTCGCGCTTTATTCGGCTAACACGCCATTTGGTGGAATGCCACCTGTCCTACCTTGCTACCTTGACTTTCCTTGTTGGTGCCTTGCGGGAATGAATAGGAAAGAAAAAGAAGGGATGAATTTGTTTGTGTTGAGCACATTGCGGTAGGTTGGCTTCTGTTTGTATGTACATGCGAACGTTTTTCCGCATGTCTCAAACAGAGCAACCTTTCTTTTTAAACAAGTTTTGTCAACCTCGTGCTGGAACTCGAAGTGCACGAGATTGGTCTCGGCATGAGTTGACATCTCGCAGCTCTGGCTGGGAGAGGAGGGGGGGATCCTGGGTTTTTGTCCCACCCGCCCAACCCTTTCACACACTACTCCCAAGGGGGATTTGTGCGTGAGACTGGAAGGCCAGGATCCCGCCTCCTCAGGAGGCATGAGGTGGGTCGCACTCGCGTGCAGTGAACATCCCCCGTGCAGAAAAAGTGCGGTGCTAATTGTGATCTGAACTTTTGTCTTTACGCGGTGCTCCGCACCCATCCGCAGTTTCCCCTTTCCTCCTTTCCTGACATGGTACGCGTTTGACAAGGGCACGCAAGTAGGACTGGCGTTGTAAAGCTGAATAAGGAGCGCCACGCTCAGCTGATCCGCCTGCTGGGCGAGCTGTTGGCGCGCGAGCCGGAGGCGCCTTTCACCCGCCTCTTTCTCTTCTACGACCGGGCCGCGGAGAACAGCGCGCTGCCCTGCGTGGCGGAGCACTGGTCCAAGCCCGTGCGCGCCGTGTCCCGCTGCGCATGATAGTCCCCCAGAGACTAAAAGGCAGATGCGGCTGAAGTACATGGGAAGTAAATCCTGGTTAGCTCCTCACGCGGACCGGCTGCTGGGGGACGTCGCAGTGCTTCACTCTCCCTTCTTCGGTTCTGGAAAGCTGGAGTACTACCTCGCCGCCCGGCGTCCGGCCCTGGCGGTGCGCGGCGTCGACGCCTTCGAGCCCGTCGCAAACCTGCACCGCTGTTTCTTGAGGCAAGACCCGGTCTTCCTGCGCTCCTTGCTGCGCCTGGTGGCGCGCAAGGTAGACAGGCGCTTCTACTTCAGTCACCTCCTGCCGGGCTCACAGAGAGGCCGCGCCGGGCGTCGGGCTGCCTGCTCGTACGTCCTGCTGCGCAACAGCTTCTCGAAAAAGTGGGGCTCCTTCACACAGCAGCGGCCACTGGCGCTGAGCAGCGTGCGGCGTCTGCAACGGCCGCCCACAAATGTGACCGTGCGATGCCAGGACGCGCTGGCCTATCTACACGCTCTGCCCCGCCAGGCGCCCCGACAAGCCATCTATGCCGATCCTCCCTACATCGTGATCCTTGCTGCGATGTCGAGGAGTGCTGGTCCACCACCGTCTTGAGGGCCGACTGGTCGGCCTTGTTCGAGAGACCCGTGGTCAGCAAGCTCTGCAGCGCTGCGATGCTGCTCCCGTGCGCGGCCACCTGCCCGTCCGTGGTGGCCAGGGCCGCTGCCGTGGTCAGGGGCGCATTGCCGGAGCCAGGCTGTCCAGCTTTGAGGCCAGCTCTGCGGTGACTGGATGGCTGCTGAGTTGTTGCCGGACGCTGCCTGTTCAACGGCCAGATCTGTCACTTGAGCGTAGGGCGTCAGAGCGAGTGCCAGCCGTGACGTGCGTGCCGTCAGTTACCTCTCCGTTGTCCAGGACCTGCGGGATGTTGCCGGTGACAGCTTAGCAGTCCTTGCGCGACCTCTTTCAGGTTTCTCGGATCGGAGCTTCAGGCTTGGTTGGATTGGACGAGGTCTGAAGAAAGCTCTGTGAGTTGTCCGCAGTGGTGGCAGCACTGACTGCGGACAACTCTTTCTTGGACTTACAAGTTTCCCCAAGTACGTGTCACGGGGTGACACAGTCCGTGGGTGGCCTTGAAAGCACAAGCAACACTTGTGCTTTTCACGACCTGAAAGCAAGGCCGGGTGTGCGGCTTCGGTCGGAAAGCGAGGCCGGCTGTGCTTCGGTCTGGAAGCGAGGCCGGCTGTGCGGCTTCGGTCTGGAAGCGAGGCCGGCTGTGCGGCTTCGGTCGGAAAGCGAGGCCGGCTGTGCGGCTTCGGTCTGGAAGCGAGGCCGGCTGTGCGGCTTCGGTCCGACACGTGATCCGGACTGAAAAAAAGCGCAGTCGGCACACATTCGGAGCCCGCGCCTGGCCCGCGCCTGCCGCGCCTGGCCCGCACCTGGGTTTTTCGGGCAAAATCGGAAGCTTGGAGCGAAGTCGGAATTCCGACCTCGGTGGGACCTCGGTGGGAAGAATTCCAACCTCGGGTGGCGCGGGCTCGAGCCTGCTCGTGCGCTTGCCGCTACGTTCAGCACGTGCTCGGCTACCAGGAAGTGTACATGAATTGAGGGAAAATATCCTTCAATTCAAGTTCCCTGGTCCAGGTCGTGATACCACCCCTGACCTGCGCACGACCCTGCTCGAACGCGGGCCCGGCAGGCTGAAGGCTTCGATGCCAGGCAGGAACGTGGCGCGGTTCGGCAGGCTGGCGAACCAATATTGAATCAATTTTCAGTCCTCCCCCCACGGGAGGACTGCTTTTTTTCCTGGCCTCGGTCTCAGCGCACGAGCACTCCGAGCACTTCTTTGCAGAGCACACTTCCTCTTCTTTGCAGAGCACACTTCCTCTTCTTTGCAGAGCACACTTCCTCTTCTTCGCAGAGCGCACTCCCTCTTCTTTGCAGAGCACACTTCCTCTTCTTTGCAGAGCACACTTCCTCTTCTTTGCAGAGCACACTTCCTCTTCTTTGCAGAGCACACTTCCTCTTCTTTGCAGAGCACACTTCAGCATCTTTGCAGAGCGCACTTCAGCATCTTTGCAGAGCACACTTCCTCTTCTTTGCAGAGCGCACTTCAGCATCTTTGCAGAGCACACTTCAGCATCTTTGCAGAGCTCACTTCAGCATCTTTGCAGAGCACACTTCCTCTTCTTTTCTTCTTTGCAGAGCACACTTCCTGGCAGACCAAGCTCTCTCTTTAGAGGGAGTTTCCCAAATGGATTCTATTCCACCTGGTAGGCTCCTGACACTCGTCCGTCCAGGAAACGACCTCGTCCTGCGAAGGATTTGAAATCTAAAATGCTGCGTGCAGGCGCGTGGCTGCAACGAAACGACCCCTAGATATGCGCAGTCAATTTGCCTCGTAGCTGCGTTTCTGCAAGGCGAGCCCCTCAAAAGGAACCCTGGCTGGCTCGGCCGCCTTCTGGCTGGCTGGCTTTTGGCTGGCTTTTGGCTGGCTTTGTGGCTGGCTTCAAAAGACGGGGTTTGGTTGGCTTCTGGCTGGCTTTTTGGCTCCTGGCCGGCTTTTAAAAGACGAGGTTTGGTTGGCTTCTGGCTGGCTTCTGGCTGGCTTTTTGGTTGGCTTTTGGCTGGCTTTTTGGCTGGCTTCTGGCTGGCTTCTGGCTGGCTTTTTGGCTGGCTTTTTGGTTGGCTTTTGGCTGGTTTGGCTGGCTTTTGGCTGGTTTGGCTGGCTTGCACCCTTTTTTTAGCTCGCCTTGCAGAAACGCAGCTACGAGGCAAATTGACTGCGCATATCTAGGGGTCGTTTCGTTGCAGCCACGCGCCTGCACGCAGCATTTTAGATTTCGAATCCTTCGCAGGACGAGGTCGTTTCCTGGACGGACGAGTGTCAGGAGCCTACCAGGTGGAATAGAATCCATTTGGGAAACTCCCTTTAAAGAGAGAGCCACTGCGCAAATTCTTCTTCTCTATTTTTGGGATACCGGCTTGGTTGATGGGGTCTGATCTGGCCCCGACGCACGCCTAATTTCCGAAGATTGCCACATGCCCCCGCTGTCCTGGTAAAACACACCAGTTACTGGGAAACGTCTGAGGGGAAAAAACCAACAACCCAGATTCGCCGCAGCTGAAGCTTATTCACGCAGCGTGCTCTACCTTGCTTTGGCAGTGCAGAGCATGTACCATCACCATAGTGCCAGAGGTGAACCGCTGCAATCGGCTGCCAGGGGTGCCGAAATTCCAACGTGGATTGGCTTGTGATTTGGAAAGTTATCAATCTAACTTGTTTCGGATTGGATTGGCTTGTTTGTTTTGGGAGGGGTTAGATCGGCGTGTGAGGAGCAGGACAAACTTGTGAGCATCAGATTGGCTTGTGAGAGGGTTCAGATTGACTTGTGACCGCTTTGGCGGTTTCGAGCATCAGATTGACTTGTGAGATTGTACAACGAAAATTCCTTATTATTATCATCATCATCCTCAATCATCGATATCCAACATCAGCATCATCATCGTCATCATCCATCATCTATCATCGATCATCAGCATCATCATCATCATCATGATTGTCATCATCATCCATCACCCATCATCATCGTCATCATTATCCAATGGCGATCATCGTCATCATCGCCCATCATCATTATCATCCATCGTGGTCATCATCATCAGGTCACGATCGTCGTCTTAGCTCATATCTTACATACGCCTTTAACTGTGCTGTTAGGCAGAGCTTGGCACGCAGAGGATCCTGCCAGGACGATCGTCATCATTACCCATCATCATCATCATCAGGTTGGTCAACCGTCATCATCATCACAATCAGCATGGTGATCATCACCGTCATCGTCAACATGATCCATCATCTTCCTCATCATCACAGCGCTTCATCATCGCCCATCACCACCATGACGGCGATCATCAACATCATCATCATCATCATCATCATCATCATCACCATCATGGTGATCATCATCATCATCGTCGTCATCCGTCAACTGCGCTTGTAGAGGGTGCTACGATGACAGTCATCGTGGCACGGATGATCGTCATCACGCATCATCATCATCATCATCAGTCATGATGACCAGCATCATCGTGATCCATCCTCATCATCATCCTGCTCCATCATCGTCATGCATCATCATCGTCTATCACCAGTATCATCTGTCATCATCATTGTCATCGTCATCGTAATCGTAATCTTAGCCTCTATCTTGCGTGCGTTTCACCTGTGCTTTTAGGCAGCGCTCGGCGCACAGAGGATGCCACGGCGATAGTCATCATGATCACCATCAAAACCATGCATCATCATCATCATCATCATCATCCTCATCATCATCATCATCATCATCATCGCCTAGCATCATCCATCATCAGCATCCTTCATGATCCTCCATCATCATCATCCATCACCCTCGTCATCATCATCATCCATTGTAATTAATCATCTTCTGCATTGTCATCATTCGTCATCATCATCACTCATCATCATCTTTATGGTGAGAGTCTTCATTATCCACCATTGTCACATCGTTGAACACAGCATCGTCATCCTCATTGTGGTTTCAGCAACTCTCTTAAGGTGTCAACTTTGTTGTTAGGCAGCCGCGCGCAAAGGATGCTACGATGATAGTCATCAAGGCACGGACTCATCATCATCACCGTCATCAGCATCATCTCCATCCATCATGCTGATGATTATGGGTGATGATGATGGTGGTTGATGGTAGTGGATGATGCTGATACCAATGATGAGGATGATGAATATTACCTGTGTGACAATGGTCACGATCAATGACGATGAGGTGATGACAGATGATGACGAAGAAGGTGATCACCATGATGGATGATGACGATGACAAATAAATGATGCTGAAAACATGATGATGAGAAAAATCATGATGGTGTGTGATGACGAGGGTGATGATGGTGATGATGATAATATTCATCCGTGCGCGACAATTTGATGAAGCGGATGATGATGATGATGATGATGATGATGATGATGATGATGGTGATGGACGATGATGATGATATGATGACGCGCAACTGCCGACGCGGCCACAAGTCAATCTGATCTCCCACAAGTTAATCTGATCGTAGCAAAGCGTTGTCGAGAAACTCGTTGTGCATGAGTGCGTCGCCCATGAGCTGCTCTTGACGAGAGGCCCCAGCGCTCTGATTCAATGGTTGTTGAAAGAGGCCCAGTCATCAATGCGTTCCTCATATCTAAACAAGCTTGCTTTTGAGTCGTGCTCATCGATAAGTGTAGTGTCTCTACAGTGCTGCCGACCGACAGGTTGGCCTGCGCTGCTGTAAGGCTCCATGAACGTCGATGACATTCTGATGATTCCTGTCTGAAACCCTGCCCGCTACCACGATGGAGTGGGGCACCTGATCCTTGCCGAAAACACCCACTTTCTATGGCCCTGGATCTGTTTCCGGCAAGAACCTGATGTTTGGTGGATTCAATTGTACTGGGCGTCCCTGTGCACCAATTGTAGCGATGCGTTCTTCCATGGCAAGTGTGTTTTTCAATGCTAGACAAAAGGGCCTTGAACGAATTTGTATACGTGATGCAAATGATTGCCTATAAAAGTCAATGGCGTAAACCAAACTAATTGGTGATGCTGAGGATGTTGAAAGCGATGCTGAAGTTGATAGCCCTCGCGCGAAAGCCACCGCAGGACCAAGGAGATCGCACTTGCCAGTTCCAAGACAGAATGTCCAGGAAAACACCATGGTTGGATAAACGCATTGTTTTTTCCCGCGCTTGATTTGTTTCTTATCGGTTGTGCCGCATTGAACGTTCAGAACTATGTGGTGCCTGTCGTGTTGCCGAACCTCAAGCGTTAAGTGTGAGATCCTGAGCCAACCATGAGATGGATGTATTGCTTTGAACAATTTGTTGATTGCAAGGCTCATTGAGATGGAGGTTAAGGAGGAAGTTGGACCAGCATTTGAGATCAAACAGAATAAAGGTTATGAAGGGCCAGGATCGCACAAATTGTTTTGAGCCATGGCGAGCTTACGTTGTATGGTGCAGGCTGGGAGCACAGATTGTCTGCTTCGGGCAGTGATTGAAGTAGCTGAATCCAGCCGCGCTGTTGAATGCTTGCATTCATATGGGGTGTTTCGTCGTCTAGGAGCCTTTTGCAATGCGACATGTGGTGGTTGACAACATGAGAAAGAACCGAGTCCACCTCATTTGGCCAAAGCCTCATGACAACTCCATCTGCCAGGTTGCTCCATTTGTTCAGGCAAGAAGGCGCTGGCCAGTGCGATCGCCCGCATCTGTTTCTATCGGACCTTTCAGCTCCAGTGTTGTTGGCCATTTTGAAGCGCAAGACATTCGAAACACTGACCCAATCCTGAAAAGAGCAGAGGACGGGTCACCAGCATTTGGAGCCGACATTGTGGTCATTTGCATGAAGAAGGATGAGCTTAGTGCTCAAAGCAATAAAACCGAAATGTCATGGGCAGGGGAGGGGTGTCACAGAGAAAAACCGTGCAACTTGCGGACCAGTTGCAGGCGGGCCGTGATCCCGCTGCAAAGTGTTTGTCAGCATCGGCTGTGTGTGTGGTGCCTCAGCTGTGGGTTCAGCGGGTGTGGACTGCGGGTTCAGAGGGTTCGGCCATGCGAGCAACTGATAAAACATTTTGGGGGAGGGAATGAGGTGCCCACCAAATTGTTCTACAAACACCATGAGAAGAACATATCACTACGTGAACGATGGTCCGTTTTCTACAGAAAACTAGGATGACTTTGGTACACTTGCCAGCTAAGAAAATGGGGGTTGCCACAAAAAACAACTGCCGGGAGCCGTGCGTCTTTTGGGGGTATCTTACCCAGATTGAAGTAAACCATTTGTGCCACATGAAGTCAGGATCGGCAATCTTGCAACTGAGCTTTCTGCAAGTCGCCCCGCCAGTCCCTTTGCAGGGATTTTTGCAAGCGCTCAGGCCAATGCCAAAGCAGAGCCTTTGCCCAGCGTGTCATTTTGGCGCGAATTGTGCAGCGGTTTCTTCTTGGCACAGCAGAACATTCGCAAGTGGTTTGCCCAACTGACAAGGGTTGGATTGTGGCAATTTTCAGTTGATGTTTCAGGGAAAAAAGGGTACGCCTGCTACTAATGGGGTCCAGTCTCAAATAATTTGCCAGGGCGAGCACCGGAAAAGCAAGCCGATGGGATTTCATGAAAGCGCAGCCTGTTTTTGACAAGTGCGCCCAGACGGCACATGCTCTTTGCTTTGCTGCAAGCCTGCTTGAGGAGTGAACGGGCCAATGGGCCAAGCTGGTTTGCGAGCGAAGCACGTGCCATAGATCACTTTTGGCAGGTACGTCGAGTTCAACTTCAGTGCAGAGGCAGCTTGCTAATTTGCCACACGTAGAGCAGGCCGGAATCCCACAACTGTTTGCCCGAGGACAGAGCTCGCTTTGTTGGCGAGCGCGCGAAGTTTCGGGCATGCGCCCCAGGTATACACCTGCCTTTTCTGCATACGAATGGGAAGGAGCGAAGTGAAGGTTCACTTGCCGAGAGCGAATTGACATGTTTTGATCTTGTTTTATCCTTCTTGTCAAGGTCCGATGAAGACTCGGCAGATGACATGCCTGGAAAGGGAAGAAAAACCTATGTCAGTCAACCGCAGGTTTCTTGGTCCCACCAATGACCAAGACAGTTTCCGGAGCTAACACCGTTTTCAAGTACTTAAGGTCTGATATGTTTTTGAGGCGGATCCTCGTCTGAACCCATTGGCACCGGTGGAAGCGCCGGCAGAGATGGACAGCCGAGGGTCACCGTTGCGATGGCACCCAGGTGCTATGTTTTGAAAGGTACTCTGGAAGCAGCCCTTGTTTCCAACCTTTCGAGAATACCGTTATTAGACAATTGATACTTTGTCCGCCTAGCAGCAAAAGTTTAGGTTTTTGGAGAGCGTCTCCAACTCAATAATGCGAATCCCAACAAGGACGTCCAGTCTTGAGGGCTTGATCTAAAATACAATGGCTTTTGGTTTCCATGTTAATCTGCTGGTTACGGTCAATGGGTTCGGGATATCGGGGAAGACTCACTAAGTGTCCAAAGACAATAGGGCACTTGAATTTAGTTGCCCGTGTCCTCAAACATCTTGTGCATATTTGTGCGACAGGCAGGCCATCGAATGCCATTGTCCCAGAAACAAAGCAGCCCCAACACCACCAGATGACCTGATAGAGGTGGGATGGTTGTGCTCCAGCAGAAAGTTGGCAGGTTCCGGTCACGGTGCAAAAGAGGGATAGCAGCTTGCCCTGATGAATGAGTGCATCCTTTTTGTGCTAAGAGACCCGTCCCTTTTGTGGTTGTGCTGGATTTTGGAAACACCAACGCCAGCATGTGGTCATCGGCGGAAACACTGCCGCCAACTTTCTTGTGAGCTGTGTGTTTTAAAACTGGGAGAATCCTCTTTTGGAGTGGTTTCAAAGGAAACTCAAAAGGGATGCCAACTGTCTGATTTGGACGGTGCCATTTCGCGTCACAACGCGTCATGCACAGCGATGCAGGTTGGGATTCTTTGAAGAATCAGAGGGGTTTACAAAAGGGGGCTGAAGAGGGGATATGACCTCTGGTCAGTTTGTCACAACCCCTTTGTCCGCAGGCCCAACTGGCAGCCATACAATTCTTGTGACGGTGTGTGTGGAAGTTGTTTGGTTGGCAGGACTGGGAAGAGACGTATCGGGCTTTCATATCCATCGCCCGCATCGATGACAAGATCTCGAGCCTGGGGCTCAATTGACTTGAACCTAGCCACGTACGGAGATGGGGAGAAAGGATGTCCACGCAGAGAGAGAGAGAGAGAGGATGCGAAGGAGCGAGAGTAGAACACTCGATGATTTGAAAGGCGGTTTTCAGGAGCTCATCTACCAGAGGCTAGAGGACGGGCCCTTTGCTTTGCAGTCGCTTGACGTGATACCGCAGATGGGAGAAATCATGAAGCTCGTCCACATCGGAACATCTAGTCTATAAATGTGTCAATACGTAAGCATCAGCAGAAACCAGAGTAGATGAAATGGGTGAGGAAAGCCTTTCATTTTAACATATGTACACATGTTTCGGTGAACTCCTTAAGTGCCAGGCTTTATTTATGACTCAGCTTGGAAAACCCCTTGGCTTACTTGGCATGACAACATGGAATTTCAACAAGCATTGCACAGAAGGACACATTTTCCTTCACAGGAGTGCCGCCATGACCCACACTTTTGGAGTTTCGAATTTGGCGCAAACCACGGGTGCCCCAAATCTGGCAAAAATAAAGCACATGGTGACAGTAGATTCCAGAGGAACAAACTTGGCGACTATGGCAATTGCCAGGCTGGTTTTGGAGAATCCAGGGAAGGCCCGCTCGAGGGGCTTCCTTTTGGGACGCCCGAAGGACAAAGATCTCATGGTGCCACCGGCACGTGGGGAAGTTTCACGGCGCTGTCCCGGGATGTGGAGCACGGGTTGCCACTTTTGATTGCCCAGGAATCAGTTGTTTGAGTACATCCTGAGTGAAAAACAAACTGCTGCAGATCCAAGCTGTTTTGAGTTCTGCCAGACGCGCTTTGGGATCTCCCTGCTCGAGGGAAAGACGCCTCTCGGCCAGGTATGTCTAGGCCCCTTGCAGTGGTTTCATTTTGAGGGGTTCTAAAAATTTGGTTTGGGGTGGAACACCCGGTGTCGCTTTTTAGGCGGCAAAGGTAAGGTCGCAGAGTATGTCGACGCGTGCGGTGCCATTTTGCCTCGGGACCATCTCTAAGCAGGCAATTGATGTGGCAGGTTTTCACCCTCAGGTCCCCCAGCTTTTCCCACTCAGCCTAAGCTTAGCCCCCGACGAAACTGACAACTCGGCTGTCATTGCACCAGCCTGTGAGGTCCCTTGAACATGGGCCAGATCGGCATGTCATTGAACCAGCCGTTTTTGCGGGGCTTGGCCCAGGTTGCAGAAGCCCAGGGCTTAGATCTCAATTATCTCGAGGCCTGAGCCCAGGGCTTTGTACCGAGCCCGCGCCCACATTCCGAAACCATCCTGTCAGCTCCCATGATCGTTAGGGTTCCCTCCCTCCAAATTAGAGGACTGAGGGAAGGGGAGGACAATTATAGGTTTCATGGTGCGAGAATCCTAGGCCGCTGCACAACACAAAGGCTGTGCCAAGAGAGGGCGCGTACTTTCGCATGCTGCAGCAGGCGGGTCAATTTGCCGCAGACGAATATGCGGTCTTCCAAAAGGACGGATTTGTTGCATTGCACCTGACCGCTCAAAACGAAACACGGCGACCGCTCAGACCTACTGGCTGGCATTGCACGTGTGGCTTGTGCACTCCAAGCAGCACATGCTTCAGGACCGGCTAGGGTTCATCAGACCTTTTGACACTTGCATGTTCTCAGTAGAGAGACCCCTTTCAACCAGAAATGGATCCTTGTGGAGAGATGGTTGGTTGAGATGCTTTCATATTCTCTATACAATGCGAACAAGCAAGGAATCCATGTGTGTGGGCTTGTCATCATACACGTTGACCAGTGCCTCAAGGTGCATCAGCACACTTGGCGGCAATGGTCGTCACAGTACCCACTGCGGCTGTGATGGCCATGGTCCTTTCTTGGGACTGCTGCTTGCATGCTGCTTTTCGTGAGGCCACTGCTTTTGGTGAGGCAAAGGTAGCAATTGTGCTGTGTGTGGGAAGGCCATAGTTGCGGTGAAAGCTGTGGATGCTTCCCCGCCAGTGTTGAGTTGTGGGTTCGGGGCCTAGCCACTATCCGCCCAATTTGGTACATTATGTTCGGTCAAGATTTCATTGTCCCAAGAGTTGCAGACAACTTGGGGGACTGCTCGGCTCAAGTCAGGATCTTTCCGGCTTCCCAAATCGGGTGGGTTGCCGTAGTGTTTCGCATGTCGAAATGGGCGGACCCGGCCCGTACTTGAAGCTGGCAGTGCTGCAGCTGGGGCTGGTTCTGTGCATTCGACACTCAGCTCGCAGGGAGGGATGTGGTCATTGTTTCGGGCTTTTGTTCGAAAGACGCAACTCTCTACGAGCTGAAGACTCTGGAACCTGGAGTGGCCCAGGAAGGCATGTTTTGCAGGCTTCAAGGCTGCATGTCTGCTTGCCACGAGGATCGCCGGAAGAGCTGGCGCTGCTACAACAGCAACGGACCAGCACTAACAGCGCTACGTCCAAGGTGGATCAGGTGAATGTTCTCGCAGGCTGGATGCAGCCGGGGGCAGGGTTCAGGATGAATGTGCTTGGCTGCCCTCAGCTGCCCTCAGGCACCTCAAACGTGCCGGGCGGGTTCTCGCACGGCAACACACTTCCCATCGTGGCGAGGCGGATGCGGTGCACAGGGTCTGAAGAGTCTGAAGTGGGTTCCTCGGGCCTCACAGACTCCCAGGGGTCTGATAGGATGTACCACTTAAGAAAACCCGGGTTTCCCCACGGTGATTGAGGGTAGCGGAAGCCGTCTGGGACACTAGGTGTTTCACAATGAGTTGGGTCAAGCAAATCTCCTGGTTCTCAAATTCAGGCTGGGCCGATCCTGTTTGGGCCCCCTTGTTCGTTAGGACCAAAAAGGGTGTCAGATTGGCTGGAGGCGATCGGTGACCGGGATTGCCAGACCCAAAATGCTCATAGTTTTCGTTGCCAATCCGACGAAGGACATCTCTCGGGCTCCCAGCCCGACATGTGCGAGCACATTTGGGCCAACCCCCCTGTTTGTGTGAAAATGTTCAAAGCCTTCTTTTGGTTCCCCTTGACAAGGCTCCAGGGCCTGGTTGTGTGAACCACATTCCAACCTCGGCGCGGAGGCCATGGGGCTTCAACCACTGGGCGGTGCAAAGCGAAGGGAGCCCATACGACAGCAACAGCTGGTGGTTCCAGCCCCAGAATCAACGCTTTGTGGGCCTCAGGCGGGCAGCGATCAAGTGAGCAATCAAGACCCGCTTGATTGGAGCGGACAGTCCAAACAAACAGGTGCAGTCGCCATTCGATTCTTTACATTGGTTTGACGTTGGATGTCTTTCTTGCTAAGCGTTGCATCGCATTCCTTGGCTTGAAATCCAATGCCACCCATCAGCTGGCACACTTGCCCGGATAGCATGCTGGTGATTACGCGTGTTGCCAGAAAGCATTTTGTTGGTATCAGCCAGAGTATTGTCGCACTGCAAGACTGAGTTAAAGCGAGTCAACTCACCAGTCTTCTGGCGCCAATGGCTACCCTTGTGAGAACACCGATGGCGCTTTTTTTTGTTTTCACACCCTTCGGGTAGGGTGACCAGCGTGAGCACCGCAGGTGTACACATCAGCCAAGCCCCTGGATTGGAGACTATGGGCACTTCTTAGTCTTCCCAGCGGTAGATGGAAGCTCCGCGGACAGCCTTTGGCTGCTTGGCTTTGCCACTGTCGATGTTGGCTCTTCTCTTGAATCACACCCATGCTTGTGGGTCTTCCCCATCTTTCGGAAACAGACGAGTTTCATGATGAAGGCCTCAACGTCCGTCAGGGGTCTCAGCCCATGTAAGGTTTGGGGGTGGCTCGGGGGAGCTCTAGAGTCAGGTTCGAGGGTGATCTGGTGCGGGCCAGGTGAAAGGTTCAAGGAAGGTTCCGGAGGTTCTGGGCAGGCCAGGTGTAACGGTTCCGGACGGTGAAGGTTTAATTCCAAAGCTTTTATTTCCAATGGCGACCGGGCATATTGTTCAGGTATGATCCTCAAGGGAGCACCTTCCGGCCCTACCTCCTGTCAACTCAGCTGGAGGATCCGGGAGTCTCGAGCGGCCGGATGGGTGGCTCGACACTGAGGGCATGTCGTCAAGGCGGCGGGGGGTCACAAAACATTTGGAGCCTTTTTGGATGGGTTTGACATCCAAACGGAACCTGCACAAGGGATGGTGCAATGGATGGTGCCCTTTGGAAAGAGCTTTTGGCTTGTCAATTAGGCCACCCCCCTTTGTTTAGACACCCTGCTTCCGGTTTCCCTTTAAGGGTTCATGGTCTGATTGCTTGGCCCGTGCTGTAAATTCTGACGTGTTTACCCTAAGCCAAAGCCCTAACCACATACATACACACATGTCTTAAGCGTATAAATTCGTACTTCATGTAAAGTACGCAAACTGCTAACGTGATGGATGAATCCATGGGCCTGTCTACACACATAGATGTCTTTACACATACATGAACACACACACACACATATATACATATATATATATATATATATATGGAAGGCCGCCCCCCCCCCCCCCCCCCCCCCCGGTGCCTAGGTTTGCTTGATTTCAGTCATTTTTTCAAGTATTTTTGCATTTTTTGGCCAAACTTGGGCACCAAGAACGGGGGTGTGCCACAATTCTGCAATTACGAATTCTGGACCCAAGATTGCTGGGAGACGTTCAATGTGACAATCTGGAATTCAAGATTCAAGACTTCAAAACAATCTTTTCTGGAATCCTGGAATGTTGAATGTTGTGTCCCATTTTTTTGTTTTTTAATATGGGATTCAATAATCAAGATTCAAGATTCCTTTGGAATCTTGAATCTTGAATCTCATATTTTTTTCAAAGAAAAATCAGGGATTCAAGATTCAAGATTTCAAAATAATATTTTTCTGGGAATATTGAATCTTGAATCTTGAATCCCAGATTATTATTGTTTTACTTCCAGGTTTGTCCCAATACTCTCGGTGTTCAATAAGATTCTCGGAAAAGCTTTCCGTGAAATATTTCAATCTCGAATCTTCAATCCAGTGGTAAAGTACGTTCGAAGCTTTAGAACAACTTGATCATTTTTAGGGTTTGACCAGGAAGGATGATTCTCAGGAAAGTTGTTGTTTGTGCACTCCTCGATATTGAATGCTCAATCCAGTGGTAAAGCACTTTCAAGTGTGAGAAGAACTTGAATGTTGTTTGGGTTTGGCCAGGATGGACAATTCTCAGGAAAGTGTTCTGTGTAATCTTCAATCTCGATTTTTTCCATCCAGGGGTAAAATACTCTCGGCGCAGGATCATTAGGGGTACTATATATGTGTGTATGTATGTTGTATGTATGTATGTATGTATGTATGTATGTATGTATGTATGTATGTATGTATGTATGTATGTATGTATGTATGTATGTATGTATGTATGTATGTATGTATGTATGTATGTATGTATGTATGTATGTATGTATGTATGTATGTATGTATGTATGTATGTATGTATGTATGTATGTATGTATGTATGTATGTATGTATGTATGTATGTATGTATGTATGTATGTATGTATGTATGTATGTATGTATGTATGTATGTATGTATGTATGTATGTATGTATGTATGTATGTATGTATGTATGTATGTATGTATGTATGTATGTATGTATGTATGTATGTATGTATGTATGTATGTATGTATGTATGTATGTATGTATGTATGTATGTATGTATGTATGTATGTATGTATGTATGTATGTATGTATGTATGTATGTATGTATGTATGTATGTATGTATGTATGTATGTATGTATGTATGTATGTATGTATGTATGTATGTATGTATGTATGTATGTATGTATGTATGTATGTATGTATGTATGTATGTATGTATGTATGTATGTATGTATGTATGTATGTATGTATGTATGTATGTATGTATGTATGTATGTATGTATGTATGTATGTATGTATGTATGTATGTATGTATGTATGTATGTATGTATGTATGTATGTATGTATGTATGTATGTATGTAATGTATGTATGTATGTATGTATGTATGTATGTATGTATGTATGTATGTATGTATGTATGTATGTATGTATGTATGTATGTATGTATGTATGTATGTATGTATGTATGTATGTATGTATGTATGTATGTATGTATGTATGTATGTATGTATGTATGTATGTATGTATGTATGTATGTATGTATGTATGTATGTATGTATGTATGTATGTATGTATGTATGTATGTATGTATGTATGTATGTATGTATGTATGTATGTATGTATGTATGTATGTATGTATGTATGTATGTATGTATGTATGTATGTATGTATGTAATGTATGTATGTATGTATGTATGTATGTATGTATGTATGTATGTATGTATGTATGTATGTATGTATGTATGTATGTATGTATGTATGTATGTATGTATGTATGTATGTATGTATGTATGTATGTATGTATGTATGTATGTATGTATGTATGTATGTATGTATGTATGTATGTATGTATGTATGTATGTATGTATGTATGTATGTATGTATGTATGTATGTATGTATGTATGTATGTATGTATGTATGTATGTATGTATGTATGTATGTAATGTATGTATGTATGTATGTATGTATGTATGTATGTATGTATGTAT